AGTCGTGATAGGCGCGTGGGTGGGCGGGGCGGTAAAAACGTCAGTCGTGGTGGGCGCGTGGGTGGGCGGGGCGGTAAGAACGTCAGTCGTGATAGGCGCGTGGGTGGGCGGGGCAGTAAGAACGTCAGTCGTGATGGGCGCGTGGGTGGGCGGGGCAGTAAGAACGTCAGTCGTGGTAGGCGCGTGGGTGGGCGGGGCGTGTCGGTGGGCGTGTCGGTAAGAACGTCAGTCGTGATGGGCGCGTGGGTGGGCGGGGCAGTAAGAACGTGAGTCGGGCGGGGCGCGTGGGTGGGCGGGGCTGTAAGAACGCCAGTCGTGGCGGGCGCGTGGGTGGGCGGGGCAGTAAGAACGTCAGTCGTGGTGGGCGCGTGGGTGGGCGCGTGGGTGGGTGCGACGCCCGGGCCTCACCGCGGTTGGGCCGCCAGATCTTCTCCATGCCGTGGCGCATGAGCACGATGCGCGACAGCTCCGTGAAGGACTCGGTCACGTTGAAGTTGCACAGCGGGCTGACCTCGAAGAAGGTCATGCAGTTCTTCTCTGCGTAGGCGCGCGCCTGCTCCGTGGGCACCTGCCGCTTGAAGGCCAGGTGCAGCCGGTTCCCCACCAGGATCCGGGGGACGCCAGGGGCGTGCTGGGGGGCACAGGACTCAGGGCGGGGCACAGCACCCGGCGCGCTCTCCTGCCCCGCCGCCTGTGGGGTCTCTGACCCGGCTTCCGGCCGCCTCTCAGAGGCCCGGCTGGCATTCCGGCGCCAGGATCAAACCCAGCCTGGCCCCCCGAGCGCAGCCTCGTAGACGTGAGGTCAGAGGCCCAGCCCCAGCCGTGGCGTCAGGGAAGGAGTGGGGCCCCCCAGGGGGACCTGACGGGACGCTCTCCGGGCCGCCTGCCCCCACCTACCTCATCGATCTCCTTGATCCAGCGGTCAATGCCGTCGAAGGACCAGCGGTTGGTGATGTCGTACACCAGGAGGATGCCCTGCACAGAAGGAAACGCGGGTCAGCCACCGCACGGCCAGGCCAGGGCAACGGCCAGCAGCCGAGGTCCGAGCGCCGGGGTGGCGGTCATGTGCGCACCGTGCAGAGCCACCGCCCACTGTGCCCCCTCCCCCAGACACGCAGGGCCGGAGCGAGGACAGCGGACACAGAGAGGCAGAGCTGGCGCACAAAGCTTGACTGAGACGGGCCACCCTCAAACACGGGAAACCAGATGGGGGTGCCAAGCCCCACCCTGGCCATGTCCCACCCCCAGCACCAACGCCTTCATCTGTACGTGGTGACGATGTAGGCAGGGGCCACTGGAGATGCTTCCTGGCAGGCAGAGAGGGGGACATCACACAGGGACACAATGACAGGGACACCTCCTCCCCGTGCCGGCCACACCGAACAGGTCAGTAGGGCAGCGGTGTGTCTCTCAGACACCCAAGCCCTGGCCTGGGCTGCAGCAGACCAGCTGGCCACCAACCAGCCTGTGCCTGCCACCACACTGGCAAGGCCTACTCCCCTTGGGGCGCCTGTTCCCAGTGGCCTGGGGGCATCAGGTCGTGCAGCAGCCGCGCAGGAAGGCAAGTGCCCTTGGCAAGCATCTGCCTGCATTGAGCGCTGCCCTGGGGGCACTCCAGGCAGCTGCAGGCAGAGGCAGAGCCTGTATTCCCAGCCCCACACGTTCCCAGCCCCACACTGGCTGTGGGTGTCAGTCACTAGGTGCTGGTGGCTGGCCGCGGACAGGCTGCTGCGGACACTTGCCACCACATCCCTCAGAGACCAATGACTCTGAGCTTGGGCCTGGGGCTGGCCAGAGCCCCTGCCTCCTCTCTGCCGTGGATTCCACGCAGTGCACTGTGGATGATACCTCACATGCTCACCCCAGAACCCTGTTTGATGGCCACCTAGTCCTAGCCCTACAAAACCTCCATCACAGAGGGGGTGGGGAAAGCGCTGCTGAAGCAGATGGCACTCCCATCTCAAAGTGAGGAACTTCTGAGCTTCCGCCCTGAAAACGCCATTCCATTTCTGGATGACTCAGGTCCAGACCCCAGGTCCTGCTGGGATGGAGAAAGGATGCTGATGTTGCCCTGTGCTCCTGCTCTCTGGACAAGCGTCACTCAGACTGGGCAGGGGTAAGGACAGACCACAACCATCTCCAGCCTGGCAGACGTCCTGAGGCTGGGGGCAATTGTGGAGGGCATGGGGCCAACTCCAGCGGGATGACAGGCTAGTTTGGTGGGTGGATTCACAAACCAATGAGTGCACTCCTAGGAGTGAGTCTGGCTGCTTGGAGTAGAGGGAGCAAAGCCCCTCCTTTGCTGCCAGGGTGGGGCATGAACTGGGGGATAGTGCCACCAAAGACACTGTGATACAGCCCACCCTCTGACTTGGTAATCCTGCTTCCAACACATCATAGAGGATGTGCCCAAGGCTAGCCCCTGAGGATGTACAGCCAGAAACAAACTCATGGGACCGTTTGTAAGTCGTACAGACAGACCATGAGGACACGGAACATAATGCTTTAGAAGTTGTTATGGATTGAATTGTGTCCCCAAAGGAGACATGTTGAAGTCCTAATCCCTGTACCTTGGACTGTGACCTTGTTTGGGGAAATAGGGTTTTTCTTTGCTGATGTTATCACAGCAGGGTGGGTCCTACTCCTAATTCCTTCTGAGTGGCGTTTTATAAAAGAGTAGGACAGACAGGGAGACACACTGGAAGGCAGGCTGTGAGCATTCCTCTACACACCTGGGAACCCCAGGAACACCGGGGCTGCCAGAAGCTGGGAGAGAGAAGGAAGGATCTTCCCCTAGTGCCACTGGGGGAGTGCAGCCTGCTAATGCCCTGAATTCAGACTTGTGGACTCTAGAACTGTGAGAGAATCATTTCTGTTCTTTAAAGCTGCCCACTGTGCGGTATTTTGTACAGCAGCCACCGGAGACTCAGACAGCAGTGTATTTGCTGATCACAGAAAGATGCACAGCAGATTGTGAGGTGAAGATGCAGGTTCCAAACATTACAGCGTGGTCTTCAAAAAATAAAGTTATAAACACACTCACATGTCTCACAGAAAAAACTGACAGGGAACACGCCAAATGCCAACAGGCTGGATGGTGGGTGACTTTTCCCTCGTTTAGCTTCTCTGTGCCCCCTGTGGAGAACACAGCTATTTGCATGATGTTTAAAAACACAATACTGGGAAAGCCAGCACAGCTTGTCCAAGGCAAGGTCATGGAAGCTCCACAGACACATCCAGACTCCCTGAGGGACCGAACTGCTAAGCTGAGGGTGCTGGGGACCATGGTCTCTGGGAACATCTAGCTTAACTGGCATAACACAGTTTATAAAGAAAATGTTCTACAGTCTACCTTGTTGAGTAGCGTCCGGGGTCTTAAAAGCCTGGGAGCGGCCATCTAAGATACTCCACTGGTCTCACTCCTTCGGGAGCAAGGGAGAATGAAGAAAACAAGACACAAGGGAAAGATTAGTCCAAAGGACTAATGGACCACAACTACCAAGGCCTCCACCAGACTCAGTCCAGTACAACTAGATGGCACCCGGCTACCACCACTAAGTGCTTGGACCAGGATCACAACAGAGGGTCCTGGAAAGAGCTGGAGAAAAATGTCCAATAAAATTCTGACTCTCAGGGAACATCTAGCTCAATTGGCATAACACAGTTTATAAAGACGATGCTCTATATTCTACCTTGGTGAGTAGTGTCTGGGGTCTTAAAAGCCTGTGAGAGGCCATCTAAGATACTCCACTGGTCTCATCCCTTCCGGAGCAAGGGAGAATGAAGAGAACAGGACACAAGGAAAAGATTAGTCCAAAGGACTAATGGTCCACAGCTACCAAGGCCTCCACCGGACTGCGTCCAGTACAGCTAGATGGTGGCCAGCCACCACCACTGACTGCTCTGACCAGGATCACAACAGAGGGTTCTGGACAGAGCTGGAGAAGGATGTAGAACATAATTCTAACTCACAAAAAAAAGACCAGATTTACTGGCCTAAAGGAGACTGGAGAAACCCTGAGAGTATGGCCCCCAGACACCCTTTTAGCTCAGTGGTGAAGTTATCTCCGAGGTTCACTGTTCAACCTGGGAGTAGACAGCCCCATAAAACCAAATGGGACTAATGAGGTACAGTAGTTCAGTGACAAGGGCCAGAAGGCAGAAGGGGACAAGGAAGCTGGTGATAGGGAACCCAAGGTTGAGTGAAGATATTGTTGATGTGTTGTGAGATTGTTAACCATTGTCATAGGGCAACATGTGTAGTAACTGTTAAATGAGAAACTATTTTGTTCTGTAAACCTTCATCTTAAGTGAGAATAGCAGCACAATTAGAAGAGCGTAGTCAATGTCACGGAACCGTGCATGTAGTAATTTTTGAAATGGTGTATCTTTCGCTATGTGAATTTTCACCAAAAAAAAAAGGTTGGGAGGTTAGAGGATTGACATGTTGTGGGGTTGTTAACCAATGTCATAGAACAATGTGTGTACTGCTGTTTCGTGGGAAACTATTTGTTCTGTAAGCCTTCACCTGAAGTACAATAAAAAAAAAAAAAAAAGACCAGACTTACGGCCTGACAGAGACTGGAGAAACCCCAAGAGTATGGCCCCGGCCACCCTTTTAGCTCAGTAATGAAGTCACTCCCGAGGTTCACCCTTCAGCCAGGGATTAAACAGGCCCATAAAACAAAATCAGACTAAAAGGGCACACCAGCCCAGGGACAAGGACTAGAAGGCAGGAGGGGACAGGAAAGCTGGTAAGAGGGAACCCAAGGTGGAGAAGGGAGAGTGTTGACATGTGGTGGGGTTGTTAACCAATGTCATAAAACAGTATGTGTACTGTTTAATGAGAAACTATTTGTTCTGTAAACTTTCATCTGAAGTACAATAACAAAAAGTAAAAAAACAAAAACTAAAGCAAGTGAGCACAGCCCCTAGCTGACCTGGCTCGCCCGGTTTCACCGGCACTGAGGTGGCCAGAGCCCCAGGCCGCCCAGCAGCAGCCTTGCCTCCTCCAGGCTTTGCTGGGCGCTGGCCCCCACAATCACACTGCAGGACAGGCGAAGCCTAGTGGTCGGGGTTATGAGCAGAAGAGACATAGCCACAAGTCACAGGGCAGAAAGACACAGAGAAAGCTGGGACAGTGTCAGCCAGACGACAGGCAGCAGGGACCAAAACGATCGTGGATTTACCTGAGGGAATTTCTGGGATTAACCCTAGGTAGTACTGTTGAGAAACCAGAATGAGAGCCCATTACCAGAACCCACCCCTACAGGAAGTCTAGCATCACCTGCGTGTTTCAAAGAGGCAGAGAGAACAAGGGGCAAAGAAACGCTTACCGCACTGTTTTTTTAAACGATAAAAGTAATACCTGCTCAGAATACAGATACCGACCAGAACGCTAAGGTATACATGAAAGTGACCTCCACCCCTAACTCCCCCAATGCTGGAATGGCCACTGGGTGTCTCCTGATGCTCCGCCAAAGGGTTGTTCATTTCTAACACAGACACGGTCACACCTGCCTACACATGCCCCTTCACACCTGGATGCACGGGCCCGGCACTCATGCTAGGGTGACCACACAGCCCATGGGACTAGGATTCTACTGTCAGATCTGAGGTAATTCTGCAGGCCTCCAGATCTCAGTGAAGGGGGAGGAAGGCAGGAAACGCAGAACAAGGACTCCGGAAGACGCACCTCCTGGTGCTTCTATGTGTCGGGACACGCGGGGAACCACTGGCAGAGCGAGGCCGGGTGGAGAGGCCCGGGACAAGCTGACTAGGGCCCAGCTGTGGGAGCCCAGGCTGCAGTCCAGGGCCTGGCTCAGGCTGGCCCTGCTCCTCCCAGGGACGCTCAGATACCCTGGAAGCATCTGGCGCCCTCCCCCGCAGCAGCCAAGAGAGGCACATGGAACGATGACTAAGAACCTGCAGAAGCAACAAAGGAACAAAAACCCACCACCAACTGGCTGTGCCTGATCCTGTGGAGACAACGTGGGGATGGATGACCCAGCGCCTGCTTACAAATAAACTTTCCACAGGCAAGTGTGGCGGCTCGTCAGAGGCTTCCTGGGGCTGAACATCGTGCCATGATGGTGACACTCGTGGCCAGGCCCCGTCAGCCTTGATTTGTCACTGCCTTTCTGGGGGTTCCCAACAGCCCCCCATCATCATAATCCAAGATAACCCCCCTTTGTCTCTTCGTGTTATTACAAAAGCAATGCATGTTTAGGAGGCCCTGGTGGTGCAAAGGTTTAACATGCTTGGCTGCTAACCGAAAAATTGGCAGTTCCAGTCCACCCACAGATGCCTCAGAAGAAAGACCTGGTGATCTACTTCTGAGAAATCAGCCACTGGAAACCCTGTGGAGCACCGTTCTACTCTGACACACGTGGGGTCGGCATGAGTTGGGGTGGACTCGAGTACCTGGTGGTGGCAATGCGTGTGGGCTGCAGAAAGATGAGGAGATACTGAAAAGCAGAAGGAAGATGATAAACTGCGCAAGCGGTGAGCAACGCCTCCGGAACAGAGGCTTCTCTCCTCTCTACGGATCTAAAGTCGTGTATGTAACTCCTTTCTCACTGAAGCCCCAGGGGGACATACTCCTGTGTGCTGTTTTCCACCTGAAAGCCCTTGCTAAGTGTCCACGTTGTGATGTCCCCACCTAGGGTTTTTGCTCGTCAACATAACCATGGTGACAGACGCCCACGAGGGTCCTTCTGTCGGTCTTGGGTCATTGCGAGGACGAGCTGCTTGCAGTGGAGGTGCTGGCTGGGGCAGGTGCCTCCAGGGGCATCTGAAACCCACTGGGCAGCACGGGCCACCAGGGCCCTCTGCCAGTCTCCACGCCTCTGGGAACTCAATGGACACAGGACACGCTGGGCCACCTGGGCCTCTCAGCCCCCTCAGCAGAGGCTGAGAGAGCAGAGCCACACTGGCTGCACCTCAGCTCAGAGAGAAGAGTTGACCACGGGATCCCATACATCCAGGCGTTCCTCCACGGGACCCCCCGCCCAGGCTGTCTGCAGCATTATCGCCCCAGCACATGTCCTGAGGGCATCCCAGCCTGGCTGCCCCCGGAACCAGCCTGAGCCTGCTCCTCCGAGTGGGGCCTGAGCCGCCTGCAGCTCTACACTCAGCAGGAAGGAAGGGTCCTGGACGGCCTAACCCCAGTGAGGCCATGGGGGGGTCACTCTGGTCCCATGAACTGGATGAGAGCCCACGGGTCACAGTTGCTTCTCTACGTGCCCCACACGGGGAAGGGCTCAGTGGAGGCGGATGTCCTTGGGAGGCACTGTGCCCCTGGAGTTTGCAGGATGGCAGGTGGTGGCCAGTGGGAGCAAGTCGTGCACTAAACAGACAGACACACAGAGCTGTCCTGCCTTATTTGAGCGCCCCTGAGGGTCAGCAGGAACAAGTCGCACTGGACAGACAGACACACAGAGCTGTCCTGCCTTACCTGAGCGTTCCTGGGGGTCAGCAGGAACAAGTCATGCACTGAACAGACAGACAGACAGAGCTGTCCTGCCTTACCTGAGCGCCCCTGGGGGTCAGCGGGAACAAGTCATGCACTGAACGGACAGACAGAGCTGTCCTGCCTTACCTGAGCACCCCTGGGCGTCAGCAGGAACAAGTCATGCAGTGAACAGACAGACAGACAGAGCTGTGCTGCTTACCTGAGCGCCCCTGGAGTAGGACCTGAAGATGGTGCAGAACCTGCCCTGGCCCGAGGTGTCCCTGAAACACACGGGTGTGTCAGCAGGGGACACGGCCCCCAGCACCCTCCCACCCTCTTCACCCATTCCACAGGGCCTGCCCACGGCTCCCCCATCAGGGCCACGAGGGCTCAGTGAGACTAGGCAGCCAGGCTGTTTCAGAAAGGAGGCCCCACTGGCACAAATCAAACACCCTCCCTGCCTGCCCCGTAGAGGGAGCGTGTCACCCGGGGCCAGGCAGCCGGGGCTGTGCTGCCAGGCGGGAGAGCACCCAAACTGTGAGGCTCTGAAAAATTCTCTTTAACGTGGGTGCTGAGGGTGGGCATGAGGGTGTGGGGCCCACAGACAGCCAGCCTTAGGTCAGCACGGGGCGGCTGAGATGCAGTCCTGCCTCATCCAGAGTGCAAGCTGCACCACGGCACACAGGAACCCAAGTGCTACTCCCAGCACCTACACCCGATAGCCCTGCGGTGTTGTGCCCCACGGGACCTCTGCAGCCCCACCCCTGCCTCACCAGAGCTCCAGCTTCACGCGCCGGCCGTCCAGCAGGATGGTGGTCGTCTTGTAGTCAATGCCTGCAAGGAAGGAGAAGACGAGAAGGGTGAGGGGCACTCCTGCGGCTCCAGCCAGGGACTGATGCGTGTGATGGGTCACAGCAGCCGAGCCGCTCACTGCAGGCCGCCCCTGCTGGGTGGGACCCTCCCTCAGGCCACCCTCACTGCAGGCGCGCCCCTGCTGGGTGGGACCCAGCCACCGGCAGGGCGGGGGTAGTCAGCCCCACGAGACAGGACCCGGCTTCCTCAGCCGCAGCTCCTCTGTGGATCTAAAGCTGAACGCTCCACATTCACCAAGTTTCCAAGTCCGTGGGTCGCCCAGCCCCAGGGACAGGTGAGGAAAATGTGCCTAGCGCATTATTAAGACAGAGCGATTTTTAAGATGCTGTTTCTCTGGAGAGCCTGTGCTTCCCACATCACTTCTCTCTTTATACTTTTATGAGAAAAGCTGGTGGGGCAGAGAAGGTACCTCACGTTCACGATCTTAGGAGGGTTCATTGACGGGAGATCTAGAGATTCCCCAAAAGCTCACCCGGAGGCTCAGTCCCTTCCTCTCCTCTGCCTTAAAAGCTTCCCAGGTTCTTGGCTTTTTATAACATTCCTTCCAAGATGGCTTGAAAAATGGATTTTTTAAAGAAAATATGGGCCTGTCTACAGTTTGGCTGAAAGGTGCTCCCCAGGAATGGCTTCAGTTCCAGTTCAGAAGGGTGTCTTAAAGCCATAGTCTTGGGGGTTCCTCCAGTCTGTCAGAACAGTAAGTCTGGTCTTTTTTGTGAATTTGATTTTCTGTTCTACAATTTTTCTCCTGCTCTGTCCGGGACCCTCTCTTGTGACCCCGGTCAGGGCGGTCGATAGTGGCAGCCGGGCACCATCTAGTTCTGGTCTCGGGGTCGTGTAGGTTGTGGTTCCTGTGGAGAATGGGCATATTTTAATGTAGGTGCTGCCATCACACGCTGTATTTGTGTACGTGTGCACGTGTGCACACATATACACACCTGCATGTATGTGTTTGTGTACATGTGCATACAGACACACACACATAAAACCCACCCGCCTGGGTGCTGGCTGGTGCAGAGCCAACTGTGGAGAGTCTGCACGCTGCGAGCCCCCTGGGCCATTGGTACCCGCACTGTCCTGCCTGGCTTGCTCCTGAACTATGCGTCCAAACCTGGTGCCCACACCAGCCCTCTCAGAAGTATACTGGGTGATGGGTCCCCTTGCCCGTCTTCACCAAGCTCCCTCTGCTGCCCTGAGGCGCCTGTGGACCCTCTCACCCACAGCCAACCCGGGCCCCTGCTCAGCTGTGGGGGGCTGGGGGGGAAGCCAGCCCAACCCTGCCTCATAGCGGGCACAAGGTCTCGGGAGCTAGGCCTGAGGGCTGGGGCCCCTCTCCTCCCTGGCCCAGCCACACACTGACCTTCACACGGGCCAGAGTCTGTCGTCACTAAAGCAGTCACTTTTTATCTTCTGCAGCGGCCACAGCTGGAGCACTTGGCACAGGCTTGGCATGGGCCCATGCCGAACGCTCCTCTGTAGGGTCACGCTGCCTTCCGGGCACACTGAGATGCACTCAGAGGCCTCCAGACAGGCGAAGCGCCGTCCGGATGCACAGACCGATGCTGGGCTGCCTCTGTGCCACTAGATGGCGGCGTTGCCCAGGGCGCGGCTGTGCCTGCCCTGGAAGAGGGGCCAAAAGGGACCAAATCTGTCCACAGCAGGCCTGGGCCGGTCCGACAGCTGTGCTGACATAGGCTGCCCTGCCTCCTGGGGCGCTTGCCACCGGGCCTTATCCTGTGGCCACAACGGGTGGGGGCACCGCCGCTCCTCTCTCCACCCTCAGGCCCCAGGAGAGCCCGCGGGACACGCTGCTGCTCCCGGCTGACCACCAGACTGAGGCTCCAGTCACTGCCTGGAGGCCCTGCCCGCCGGCCACCCCTGGCCTGGCGTCCACTGCCTTTGAGAGCCCAGTTGATCACTGACAACAGGAGTCTAACTTCTGTCTTTTTGAAAAAGAGTAACAGGTCTCTATCCCTCCAGGGGACGGGGGAGTAACAGGCCTCTATCCCTCCAGGGGATGGAGGAGTAACAGGCCTCTACCCTTACAGGCGATGCAAGAGTTGAGGCTGCAGCACTGTGTTCTGGCCAGCGGACTCACCCGCTTGCTGGAAAACAGGAGCAGTGTGGGGTGTTCCGGGGGGGGGACACTGCAGCACAGGCCATGTCAGATCCAAGGAATTCTAAGAACGAGTGGGGTCCCCACTCCCTCCTTCCCCTGCTGCGTGCAGACACCAGCTAAGTCTCTGTGGTGTTCAGTGAGCGCTGATGAGGAACACGTAAGGTCGTCTAGGGAACAACATCACCAACTCCGATTCCACGGCTGCAGAAGCCGCTGCGTCCTCCCCATTCTCAGAAGCTGACAGCTTCGGAAGGTTTCCAAAAAGAGCAATTACGCGGGCTGAGCCTGAGGCTGCGCAGGAAATGGACCAGGTGGCAGGCGGGTTGGAGGCCGGCACGCGGACCAGCGCACGGCGAGGAAGGGCAGTGGCCGGGAAGGCTGTGGCGGGGCCGGTGGTGCAGGCAGCAGAGCAGACAGTGGCGCCTAGGAGGCCCGCCTGCCAGTCAGGGCACTGTCCATGAAGGGCTCGCAGCCAAGGGGAGACGCTGCTCGCTCGGCACTCTCATAGGGCGCTGCTCATTTCTCCTTCTGCCCGAGACCTTATTTTTAAAGGCACTTGATACGCTGTTCAGTGAAAAAGGCCGGGCAGCATGCATGTGGGTGGCCGCTGTAGTGGAGAAGGGAGCGTGTCTCTGCTTGTCTTCAGCTGGAGTCAGGGGGCTAGGTGGTGTCGAGAGGCTGGGGCTGCAGGGCTGGGAGTGGGGGGCTCGGCCCAGACCTGCCCGCCAAGCCGTGGGAGTGCACAGCCTGCCCTGAACACTCATGTTCAAAGAGTGTCAGCCCAGAAAGGCTGGCCTTGTGACTGGGGTGGCTGCCTCTCCTCCTTCTGTCAAGGCTGAGACTGCCTTGCTCTGCGGAGGCTGAGCCACGAGATGCCCAGACACAACGCAAGGGGCTCAGCAGAGGCCCCAGCAGCACTTCCGTCCTGGTCCTTGGGACGGGACACTGGCTTTAACCTGCTCACTGTCCTCACACTGCTGGAGGCCCCCCTTCTCTGCATCGACGCCAGCACAAAAATAACCCCGCACCTTGGAAGACTGCTGGGGTGGCAGCATTACCCCGACAGCCTTCTAACCACAAGGGGGGCTCTGACAGGCAGAAGCCGTGTGTCCTGGGGGCTGGAGGGCTGTGTCCACACTGTTATGAGAAGCCCAGACGCCAAAACCTGTCATCAGATGGGGAGGGGGCATGCAAACTCCTGCTCTGGGGTTCCCAGGCCCTGGCACCCCGCACTGCGCTGACGCATCAACAGTGACGCCGGAGGCCCAGGCAGGAGGAGTCTTGCTCCCAGGACTCGGCAATAACCCAGGCCGGCTGCCCTGTGGGTGGACCCCCGAGCCCCCCCCCTCCACATACATCCTGGGGTGGCTGGAGCGGTTTTCCTCAGAGCTGTCACTTCTTCCTTTTTCTATCTGTCCCTAACCCTGAGGGCTCACCCCCTGTTTCCAGAAGGTGGACGATTTTCTCAAAACCAAAACCACATCTGTCTTTTGTGGGGGGGGGGCAGGGGAATGGGAAGCATTACCCCTAACAAGCAACCCTTCACGGTTCCCGGCGCGCGTTAAGTGCACTGTTCCAGAACACTGGCTCCCCGCTGCCCTGACGCCGGCTCGCAGCCCCCAGGCACCACGGATGCCCCACTGCCCAGCCTGCACACCCAGGGCCTGAGAGCTCAGCCACAAGGGCTGGAACACGCTCCAGGCCACAGGCCACTCGCAGCGTCTGATGAGCCTCAGAAGGAGGGGCTGCTTTCCTGTCCTCAGTTTCTGCAGGTGACCTGTACCCTCGCAGTGCCACTGGCCTGCTTTGGGACCTCAAAATGCCAACCGAAAACCTCAAGTCCCCTGCTGCTCCCCGAGGAAGCCCAGATGCCCAGTCACTCTGATGTGCACCCAACGCCCATGCCAGCCAGTCCCCGGGACCGAGGGGGGTGTGTGTGAGCGCGTGTCTGCGTGTGTTCTTGTACATGTGTGTAGTGGCAGTGTGATATGAGTGTGTGAATACGTGTGTGTGGTATAAATCTGTGTGTGCATGTGTATGTGTGTGTGTGAATGCATGCGTGAGTGTGCACATATGTGGTGTTGTGTATTTGTGCACAGAAGCAAATGTATCTGTGTGCTGTGTATGTGGTATGTATGTGGTGTGTGTGTGTGTGCATGCCGGTATCTGTTCGCTACCATAGAAAACACCATTGTGAGGAGAGAGGCAAATCCAGAGGCCATCCCTCTCGGGGTGCAGGGCGGTCCCCCATCAGGGTCAGTTAAAGCGCCATCTGAGCCTCCTTCTCCCGAGTGTCTGCCTGTGGGTTGCAGACGGGCATGGCGTGCCCCCACCCCGGGATTCTCCTCCATGTCTTAACGAGCAGGCCAAGACCCCTGGGGGACGACGGGCCCCAGGTCCATGGCCAGCTTTCCCCAGGCCACCTGACCTTCCCAATGACAACCTCCAAGTAAAACAGGAGCCAGAGTGCCAGCCTGAGCCCTCCTCATCCTCCCACCACCCTGCAGACCCCTGGTGGCAGTTCCCTTCCTGAAGCCATTATCTTAGTTCCTCCACCCAGGCCGGACCCAGCATGCTGGTGGAAGAAGACCTACGTGTGCAGGACAGACATCTCCACGCGACCCTATAGCTCTGCAGAGAAACCCAGGCCGCGGCCATCTGCCAGCCCCTCAGCATCTGCCGGAGCTCACGGCAGGGGCTAGCGTAGGGGGCCAAGCCTGAGTCTATCCCACTGCCACCCTGATTCTGAACTTGGGAGCGGCCCTCCAGCCCAGCTCCCGGAGCAGCACAGAAGCGTTCCTTAAATCCTCTCTCCAGCCCCTACAGCACACACAGCGGGTGAGCC